CCCATCCTGATGGCTTTTTATACGCCTTCCCCACGCCTCTCTGGGCGGATTATTAATAATTGTTTGTAGTTGTTAGTAGTGGTATTATTGTGGTATCGTGGACTGATGCAAGCCAGAGGTGGCCGTATTGTGTCAGAGTCCGTTTTCTGTTCTAGCCTGTGTGTCAGAGTCTTAGCTCTGTTTGTTTTCTGTTTTGACTTTGTTTTTCCCCTGCAGTCTAATAAACCTGCATTTTGACCCAGACCCCTCTTTACACGGTGTGTTTTCCTAACCTCGCCGTGACAAGATGAGGAAGAACTAAGAGTGTGTGCACACCAAAAGCGAATTTAATTATTTGCACGAGTAGATTACATACAAAGTCAATGCAAAGACGCGAATAGACGCAAATGTTCTTAGTGGAGGGGGGTTTATGAAATATGTAAACAAATAACAAATAAACATTTATTTGTTTACATGATATGAGGGTAAATGACCAACAAGAGCATCACGATTCTGGATAAACTGAGAATCACAATGATTTTTTTTTTTTTTTTTAATGACAAAAGTCAAAGGTTGAGCAATGGTTTAATAGTCAAAGGTTTAATCGTCTTGCAGACTCGTTGTCATTTAGGAATAAGATTGCGTGGGTGAATAAATTGAGATCACAATTCAGCTATTTATATCTGAAACATAAAATGAGGGCTTTATGAAATTAATAAATATAGAAACACAGACTCACAGTGTACAGTGATATTAACAGGATGATGTTTCTCTCCAGATTCAGACTCACACCAGTACACTCCAGTGTCCTCTGGGATGGTGTATCTGATTGTACATGTAGATCCTGTTTGTGATCCCCACTGTGGTGATGAACAACTTTTCAGCCGCCCATCATCTGTGTATCTTCTCATTCTCCATCCAGTAGAGTTACTCTGGTCCTCACAGCTCAGAGAGAGAGAGACAAATGTGAAGTGTTGAGTTCTGCTGGGACTGACGATCAGAGAGACTGGAGGAGAAACACCTGAGAAGACAATTACAACTACACTGGAAATCAAGTCAAGACAGTTTTATTGATTTAAATTGTTTCAAAGCAGCTTTTCAGAAAAAATCTGAAAATCCTAAAGTCATCACTAGAGTATTCACTCACAATAGAGTATTTCTATTTAAAATTCATAAACAAAATT